GGGGGAGGGAGGGGGAGGGAGAGGGGGGAGAGAGGGAGAGAGACCTATAGGAGATCAAGATAATCTTCAACGGTCTCATTTCATGTGCCACTTCAGTGGCTAGAAAGATTGGGGATTCTGATGTGTTGGACAGATGGAAAGAGGTCAAACTGCGCATCAAAATACCACAGCAGGCAGGGGGGAGACGTGGTGCTGACAGGATGGCAGGAAACATAGATGACACAGTCATCATCTCCCAGGAGTGGAGGCCTGCCTGAAACCAACCTCTCTTGCCACCATGGTGTATAGATTGATGGGATTTACATCCCATTGCTACACAGTTTGACATCCCACATTGCATCTTCTTGAATGTTAGAGGCCAATTTCCTTAGATCGCTGTTGGCTCTTCAAGACAATCCAAACAACCAGGAATATTAGCTCTGCAGGATCCAAACTGGGTCGGTCCAGAGCAGTGGTGGGATTCAATTTTTTTTACTACCGGTTCTGTGGGCGTGGCTTGTTAGGCATGGTGTGGCTTAGTGGGTGTGGCAGGGAAGGATACTGCAAAAATCTCCATTTCCTCCCCACCCCACTAACCTGCTTTCCAGCTCCGTTCTCCTGTGCAGAGCAACCAAAGAAGACCCAGCCAATCAGCTGGGACTCTGGAGGCAGAGGAGAGATGGGGGCAGGGCCAGTCAGAGGTGGGATTTGCCGGTTCTCCGAACTATTCAAAATGTCCGCTACCGGTTCTCCAAACTACTCAAAATGTCCGCTACCGGTTCTCCGAACTACTCAAAATGTCCGCTACCGGTTCTCCGAACTATTCAAAATGTCCGCTACCGGTTCTCCGAACTACTCAAAATGTCCGCTACCGGTTCTCCGAACTACTCAAAATGTCCGCTACCGGTTCTCCAGAACTGGTCAGAACCTGCTGAATCCCACCTCTGGTGCAATGATTTTGTCTTCCAAGCTTTTGGACTCTTGCTGGAGCCAGGGAACATCTCTACTACCTCTATTTTTATGGTTAGGCTACATTAACAGAATCTTGGAAACCTGAAATTAATTATCCCTTCTTTTCATTTTACTCTGCAAAACTAGGGAGGGTCCCTTCTAAAATATTTGTCATGCCTTCCCTCCTTTTGTGCGCTGAGATGTTGTTTACATGACGGTTGTCACATCTGCAATTGTCTCTCCTGTCCCTCAAGGTCATTCCCACATATCTTCACAACTGCATTTTTATGTCCTTTGTTCACTCCTGCAGGAAGATAAATTGCATTATTTCTTTCTTTCTTCCTTCCTTTCTTCTTTTTTCCTTCCTTCCTCCTTTCTTTTTTCTTTCTTTCTCTTTTTCTTTCTTTCTTTTTCCTTTCTTCCTTCTTTGTTTTTTCTTTCTTTTCCTTTCTTTTTCTTTTTTCTCTTTCTCTTCCTTTTTCTTTCTTTCTTTTTATTTATTTCTTTCTTTTTTCCTTTCTTCTTTTTATTGTATTTGTATAAATTTGTTTAGTAAAGTATTTTTATAAATTTAAAAAAGAAGGACTAGGGGAGACATGATAGCAGTGTTCCAATATTTGAGGGGCTGCCCCAAAGAAGAGGGAGTCAAGCTATTCTCCAAAGCTCCTGAGGGCAGACAAGAAGTAATGTGTGCAAAAATAATCAGGGAGAGAAGCAACTTAGAACTAAGGAGAAATTTCTTGACAATTAGAATAATTAATCAGTGGAACAACTTGTCTCTAGAAGTTGTGAATCTCCAAGTTTTTAAAAAGATGTTGGATAACCATTGGTCTGAAGTGTTGTAGGGTTTCCTGCCTAGGCAGGGGGTTGGACTAGAAGACCTCCAAGGTCCCTTCCAACTCTGTTATTCTATTCTATTCTATTTCACGAACCATTAAATTCAGAGAAAATTCAGTCCTCACCAGACAGAGAAGGACTGTGTTTTTCAGAGCCGTTGTTTAATAGGGCCAAGCCCTTCTGTGGCAGACTAGATCGATAAGATTGATAATCAAGACTGGCAGAAACTAGATGGAAAGTGTTTTGCAAGTCTCTAACTATGAAAGACAAGGGTTGCCCAGCTTCTTAGAACCTGCAACAGGGTGAGTAGCCACAATCATGATTTTTAAAAAATATAAAATCTGATTCATGCATCATGCCTAAGGTGATTCATTGGGTTGGGACCTTGTGCTTTATGGGAACGGCGTTGATGTTGTTACTGAACCATGGTTTATGGCTCAGCAAGGGAGGTAATCCTTATATACTGCACCCAGTTTTGGTCACCATATTATAAAAAAGATGTTGAGAATCTGGAAAGAGTGCAGAAAAGAGCAACAAAGACAATTAGGGGACTGGAGGCTAAAACGTATGAAGAACAGTTGCAGAAATTGGGTATTGGCTAGTTTAGAGAAGAGAAGGACTAGCGGGGACATGATACATATGTTCCAGTATTTGAGGGGCTGCCACAAAAAAGAGAGGGTCAAATTATTTTCCAAAGCATCAGAAAGCAAGACAGAAAGCAATGGATGGAAACGAATCCAGGAGAGAAGCAACCTGGACTTAAGGAGAAATTAAGGAGAAATTTCCGAACAGTGAGGACAATGAGTGGAGACAGTGGAGCAGCTTTGCATTCAGAAGTTGTAGGTGCTTCATCACTGGAGGCTTTTAAGAAGAGACTAGACAGCCACTTGAATGGTATAGAGCCATGACGGTGAACCTATAGTATGTGTGCCAGAGGTGGCATGCAGAGCGCTCTCTGTGGGCCTGTGCGCCTCACCAACTGCTCTACTGGTTTCTGGCA